ACCGGCAAGTCAAGAAACAACCAAAACCAACTTGGAAGAGCGATCTACTCCAAGTTTTGAAGCAAGAGTGGGCGAAAATCCCACGATCTAAAATTGACAAGATGATTCTCACGATGCCCCAAAGCATCAACGAACTCCATGAAGCGAAAGGAAGATCTACTAGATATTAATTAAATTATAAATATATCAATTCATGTGAATATGACTGAAAATGTTCATTTTTCTGAAAAGGTGGTGTCTATTTACTTGTGACCACGCTGTGTATACTCGAAATGGAGATAAAAGTGAAGTTTTACGTTCAGTAAACCCTTACACCAGTTGTACTTTACGTTCAGTAAACCCTTACACCAGTTGTACTTTACTTTCAGTGAACCCTTACACCAGTTGTACTTTACGTTCAGTAAACCCTTACACCAGTTGTAGTTTACGTTCAGTAAACCCTTACACCAGTTGTACTTTACGTTCAGTAAACCCTTACACCAGTTGTACTTTACGATACTTAACTTACTCTAACGTTTCCTACAAATTTATTGATCTTAATTTTTTAACCTTACTCGGGTAACACGAAACGAACAAAAGTACGTTATCGTTAATTTGACTGACTGGACACATCTGTACAGTAGTTAGTGTAATTCATTGGAATTAATATGAAAATCCTCAAAACATCATCATACAAAGATCCCATGTAAGTTTGTACTGCTTTATTGTATATCTGGATTCATAAATCATTTGAACAAGAACAAGACTAGTTAGTTTTTGTTGTTGCTGTTCTTTTCTTTTGTGCTTATACAAAAATATTAGAAACATATAGTAAATAACATGGTTCTATATAATATTTTGAGTAGATTGAAACAGAACAAGGGATACTTCATACTCTGAAATCTGATACTGTAGAATATTATATACTCAACATTTCAAAATTAAATCCTAACGACCAAACCTGCAAAATAGTAACTTGAGACAAAAACCTGCATGTGCTATTTACCATAGGTGAATTTTATTGTTAGTTTTGCAACATGCTAGATTACATAAGAATTTTAGTTTAAGAGATTTGGTGCCAAAAAAAAAAACCCTTTGAATCGTGAAATAAACATTCAAGCTAACGGGCAATAGAGCGTTATCAAGAGCGTTGTCGTTATTTACAAACATAGGACGAAGATAATTCTACGGTATCGAAAGTTGAGAAGGACGTCTTACTCCAGCTAATGATATTGCCCGAAATTTCGTCTTCTTGATAGCAGCAGGGGCTGTACTTGAAAGTTTTGCTGAGACAGGTGCTAGCACGGCGTATTTGATCCTGGTCCAATAACTCGTCGAATAAATTTAATTGTGTCAGATCTCCAACATAAGATTGATCACTGCTGAACCCACCTCCTACAGTGTCTTGGTCCTGACCAAGGACAATAGTACCGCCATTCCTGACTTGCGTTCCCACTGCAACACCGTTTACCTGGGCACTACACATATCTTCGTCGACATAAAACTGCACTCTTCCTTTTACGCTTGTCCAGGTGATACAGACTTTGTGAAAGTTCCCTACAGTGAAGGTTGCACAGCTCAATCGTGCAAGTTGATTGGCAATTTTTATCTTGAGTTCAGTTGTTGAAGTGGTCCTGTTAACAGAGGCCATTATTTCATCGCTGTCGCCGCCATTACCGACTGCGTACGAGAAGAAAACGAATTCTCGTTCTTCTGAGCTTGTTAATTTCAACCAGGAACAAAGCGTAAATTCATCCATCGGTGGCAGCGATTTACTAATCACGGCACGAGGAAACTGCGAGCTACTAGATACAGGAAACTTGACGACTTTGGAAAAATCTCCCCTTCTCAGGCCACTGATTTCTGTTGTACTCCAGACAAGAGCCAATAGACAAAATACCATAAAACGGACCATTTTGCCGAGAGTGTGGGTGAAGGACTGAATTTTGGTCTGACGAAAACTATTCAAATACTCTCCCTTGGGCTTGGTCTATAGGTATTCTAGTTGTCTTCAAAAACCCACTCGACCGTTGCGGCTAATCCTATTTTATGCTATTGATCACTTTTATATCTTAGCTGTGTACAAAACCACCAAATGTTATAAATTTCGACATCCAATAGGCTAAGCGAATCACAAAAATACTATAGTATATGGGCGGAGACAATAGAAAGATGCACGTGACTCATAAGTTTCACACTTGGTAAGAAACGTAAATAGCATTCTGTATGGATTCTGGGTGAACACCTTTATCCATTGTCAGAAAGACTGACATTCTCTCCCCACATCAAATGTTAAGCCAGATATTTACTTATACATATTATGTGGGCTTTCTTTAAAAGTAGTCTTATTGAACGTTAGGCCCCCAGTGGCACAGCGGTATGTCTGCGGACTTACAACTCTAGAAACCGGGTTTCGATACCCGTGGTGGGAAGAGCGCAGATAGTCCTTTGTGTAGCTTTGTGCATAATTAAAAACAAACAAATGAACGTTAGAAATAATACAAGGTTTCGTTTTATCAGGCGCACAAACTTCAGCCTTTTCTCAATGTTTAGAATAATATAAAGAATAAAACGTATTATTTAAAGTAATTAGCATATCACATGCGACATTGACAGTATCTGTCCTTGTTCATCCAAAACCACACTCATTAGTGAACTGGGATCACGGTCATATCTTAACATGAGCTTTTCACGTTTTAAACGGAAATAATCCTCACTTTCATATTTTTTAAACAGTAAATCTTTTTTTTTCTTACAAAATTTCTAGCTACTGAAAATTATTACGTAATTATTTCGTACATCTTATATATACGTGTGAGTTGTGTTTGAGAACGATTTCACAACCCTTGATCATAAGACTAACATAAATATATTTTATCTTGATTATATCTAAACTATCGCCTTTTCCTCTTAAAACAATTAATTATAATAATAAAATATTACCCTCTTAATTTGTTACGAGTTTTACAAAGTTTGAGTTTTTATATTTTTACGACAGCGGAAGTCACGCGACGCTGGGATCATGCGCGCCGGAGTTTCTAGAAGGATCATGACTTATCGAGGAACCTCGCGAATGCCCGAGTGTTTGCCAGGCGCTCTCTTTTTTAGTATATAAGCCCGGCAAATAAAGCCAGCGATAAATAGATATGCAGATAGATTGAAGATATAGTTAATTGAGTCAAGCGAACAGTAGGCACCGTAAGTAGAGTATGTGAATCACTGTGATTTATAGCATGTGTTATAAAGGTTGTTAAATTTAAAGTGACTGTGGCAATTCTGTGTATTACAAAGCTGTATCGAGAAAGAATAAACTAGTTTTAATCAAGAAGGGACTTGTATCGCTTAAGTTTCTCGGAAAGAATTTATATCTGAAATTAACAAGCAAGCAGATACGTAACAATATTTATTTAAACTTAAAGTGCAACTTGCCATGACACCAAACTGTGTAAACTTAATAGACTTAATACTGAAACACGCATCTTTTGTAAACAAAATAATCATCATAATAATGATATTTATTATTAAGAAAATATATTCATGAGACACAACCAAAAGGATTTCCCTAAAGTAATACAGAAGAACTAACTAGGTAAGGAAGGGTTTCACACAAACACTATAATTCAAAATACAGCTGCGAAAATGTACGAGAAAAATTAACTTGCTTAAGTTAGTACGTGAAAGTGATTTTCAGCTACAAATTTTCCTAATAAACTGATTATATTTTTGAACTTACGCTAATATGGATGAAGGATTAAAAGAAATGAAACTGAAATGCTAAGTGATTTCAGCATGTTCGGGAAAGGTGTTTCTTATATAGTGTTGCTCATGTACGCTTTATCATCAACCTAAGCCTAACACTTTAGATAATCTATTAAAAGGTAGCGAGATGGTTTTGGGATAGCACTTATTTTGTGAAGTGAAAAAACATACCGGTACTTAACATTTTGTGAGTGAGGGGGGGTGATGTGTTTTTTTCATTAATCTATATTCCTCAGTATTTTAATTGTTTTTAGTGAATACAATGGAGTTGTATTGGATTAATAAAGATCTTAAAACATCTACAAACACTACACTACAATATCATTTTAAATAAAGTGCCGGTACTCCAATTGAAAAGTGTCGGTAGTGGGTGTGGCCCATTCCAAACACTGCATACACACTGTAACTAATTTATTATATATTTATTTTAATATCGACGTTTGTTTAGATTAAATTTATATTCATAAGCAGACTAGAAAGAAGACTTTATACTGCTTGTAACTTTGTGAAATTTTTTTATATAAATCATTGTGTGTAATAACTATTTGAAATAATTGTTATTGTAAATTTTATTGTTGTTTGCGTATTAAAACATATTTGTGCTTAAAAAGAAAACAGTGTGTATCCATCTTATTGGCAAATATCATAAACTGACTATATATCGGCTTTTACTTAACTGCTAAATCCAAAGTACAAGTTAACTCAAATTCAGACTATTTGAAGTTCTAATACGTAACAACACACACACACACAAACTATGTTTAATTTTTCCCGTTGAAAAATGTTGTAACTCACAGGAATCTTATTTCTAACCGCAGAAACTATGTGAAGGTTTGATCATCATCAGAACCTAGGATGCACGAACGAATGCTGATAACTTGAGGCTGCCTGCTACTTTGTTTAAGTGGGATAAAAAAAAAGAAAGTTAATTTCATTTTTCACATTAAAAGTTATTTTCATACGTAAAAAAATGTACAATGTAATTCGAATTCTAAAACGTATATATATATATATATTACACATAAAATAGCAAATGATTATTGAATATATAAACTTTTGGTCACGGGTAATTCGGACCGAGTGCAGTCCAGTGGTTAGGGTGCCGGATTGTAGAGTTTGATTCACGACCCGTTAAGGCCAAACAATTCACGCTCCACACTTTATAGCCATGAATGTGTCTTAAAAGTGACGGTCAACCTCTCCCCCTATTCGGACTGACAAGAGTAGTCCAAAAGTCGGCGGAGGGTTGTGTTGAGTAGCTGCCTTCCATCTAGCTTATCATTTCAAAATTAGAGAGAGCTAGCGCAGATAGCCCTCGTGCAGCTTCGCATGAAATCCAACAAACAAACGCAGGTAATTTCACACTTTTTACCAAACAACGTCCTTTTCATCAGTCATACGCTGTTTCGGTAATTATTCGGCACAGTGTTTCAGTAGTTGGTGAATTTAATGATATAATATGAGAAATGTTAAAAGAAAAAAAACACCTACTCCGCAGGTTATCTTTATTATTAAGGAATGTTTGTTTACTGTTAAAAATAAATTTTAATATGTTAAGCTAAACTCAATGCTGAAGTTCTTTTGTTTTTGTTGCTGTGTATATAGCCTGAGTTTTCGATAAAGTTGGTCACTATTTTGGGATCGTCTCCAGCTGTTTTTTCTTGGCATGAGTAAGAACCTTCTGCCACATTTGCTGTTTGTACAAGTGTTTGTATCTATTTATATCATGTTGAAGAATGTAATATCTGGTTTCGGATTATGTTCACGTTTGAAGGAACTTAAGAACTGTGTCAATCAAACAAATGCAACATCACCTAATTATATTGTAATGTTAAATTGTGAATCAAGACACTTCCGATTTGTAAGTGACCTTATGTTGCTAGCAGGCTGCTTATTTTGAAATCTGTGCCAGACTGACCACTTGTTCTTATTACGGTTTTACTGTGTTGGTCGTAAATTGTATGTATAGTGTCTTGGATTGTTTGCTTAGAGTACCTTCTGATATATATAGTGAAGTCGTTAGAAATATTTCTGAGGAAAAGATATAGTTGTATTTGATTGGACGAACCTTTGTGAGGGCTTCTATTTTTATGGTTATTCATATTCTATATTTTAAAGCTTGTTTTAAGTTTCATAATACCAGTAGGTTTGTTGTATGTGTGGTGTCTTATTGTCTTTTACTCACCACAGTGAACCTATATGTTTATATGGGATTTGAAGAATATATAGAACTGATGCTACTAATTTATTCTGTTGAATTATTCAGCAGACAAGCTGTTTAAGATAGTAAAAATATGAAGCTTGTCACTGAGTTATACCGGCTTTGACGAATTCTACCACTCCTCACAGCCCTGAGCTTATGTGAGTACAAGACATATCAAAACATCATTCATACAGTATAATCCGCAACTATACACCTGGAAAAAAGTTAAGCACCCCCAAATATTTTTCAGGATTGTCTTATTGAAAATAAGGTTTAATTTTCATGATGTTGAGCAATGTTCATAATTT